CAAAAGAGCTCTCTCAGCCCCACCTACCTCACTGGGTGTGTATTGTGGGGAGGGGAAGGGAAAGGAGATTTAAGCCACTCTGAGACTCCTTCAGGTAGTGAAGGGCAGGGTATAAATCCAATCTCCTCCTCCTTCTTCTCAACAGCCCACTTGAACTGGGTTCGTAGTACCCCTGTGTTTCCTACAACTGACACTAAATCTGTACCAAAGGAAACTAAAAATTCCAGCTTTCACACTTGTCTTTTATCATGCAAAGAGGAACCCTCATGTGAAGCCATGTAAAGGAAAGAAATAGAATTGTCCTGTCTCTCCCCCCACCCGTCAAAATAAGGCATATAGTGGGAAGAAATAGGACCGTTCCATTCTCCCCCCACCACTCCATAGGGGATCCCCTGAGTGCTGGCCTTTTTCCCAGCCATTAATTTATGCAGACAAAAGAAAAAGGGGTGTGTTCAAACTCTGTGGGGAAGGCCTAAATCTTCCCCCTGCTCTTGTTGGCATCTGTGCCAGAGAACAGCCGCTCCACTTGGTGCCTATTTAAGCTGTAGGAGTCATTGAGGGGTGAACCTTTCACTGTTTGCATAGTCCCCTGGTTCAGTATCCGGCCACAGTCGTGCAAGAGAAGGCAGCTGAAATCGTGAACTGGCTGATATAAAGAGATCAATCTAAAGTTTCTCTTGCTACACTGAAATTTAGGACTCTTAATAAGGTTCATAGTATGCAGTAAGGGGAATTCCATGGTTCTTTCCTCTTTTTTAACGTAAATAAACCCCTGTGCAAACTGGAGCAGCCTATGCCTGAGAGGGGGAAAAACCAACACACACACACACACAGAGACACACACAGGCTAATAATAGGGTTGCCAGGCTCCAAGTTTTGTCTGGAGATCTCCCAGAATAACACCTGGTCTCTAGGTTACGGAGGTTGGTAACCTGGAGACAGTGGCTGCTTTAGAGGGTGGACTGTATGGCATTAAAGCCCACTGAGGTCCCTCCCCTCCCCAAACCCCGCCCTTCCCAGGATCTATCCTCAAAATATCCAGGAATTTCCAAACCCGGAGCTAGCGGATAGATAACCATTTCTCCAAGTCCTTTCTCAGCTCAAAGTCACCCTCAAAGCTCAAAGTCAACTGCTTTTTCACCCAAACAATGCAAGAAAATGCAGGAAACCTAAAGCTGTATTCTTTTAGAAGCCAGGCAAAGGTGCATGTAATTTCCTGAGCCTTCTAGAACCTCCCCCCAGTAGGTGAAATTTTAGCTGTTCCATTCTAACTGATCTCAGACTATTTGAGAGGCTCTGGATGATGCTGGCTATTTTGCTGTGCTGCTATTTTCTGTTACCGTTTAATGTTTTTCTTGTTATCGTTTTCTTGTTTTTATACTGTAATTGGAGATGTAAAGGTGAAGCCCACTCCCCTTCCAATTTAGTCGAGTGCTTCACATCTCTAATTGTAAGCTGCTTCAAAAATATTTATGAAGAAGAGTAGACTTTTATACCCTGCTTTTCTCTACCTTAAGGAGTCTCCGAGCATCTTACAATCGCCTTCCCTTCCTCTCCCCACAACAATCACCTTGTGAGGTAGGTGGGGCTGAGAGAGCTCTGAGGAAAAGGTGACTGCCCCAAGGCCACCCAGCAGGCTTCGTGTGGAGGAAGAAGAAGAGTAGGTTTTTACACCCCGCTATACCTTAAGAAGTCTCAAAGCAGCTTACAATCGCCTTCCCTTCCTCTCCCCACAACAGGCACCTTGTGAGGCAGGTGGGACTGAGAGAGTTCTGAGAGAAATGTGACTGGCCCAAGGTCACCCAGCATGCTTCTTGTGGAGGGGGAGTGGGAAATCAAACCCGGTTCTCCAGAGAACCACCACACCACGCTGGCTCTCCTATGTGGAGATACAGGACATCAGTACTTGAAGTAGGAAAAAAAAAAGTATCGACCCCTACCCCCCCATGAAAAAGCAGTTTAGAGGGGAACATGATTATCATTTGAAAACAAACTGAGAATGGGGGGAGAGGATGAAATGCAGTACCTTCTCTCCTCGCATCTCCTCCTCAGACACAACCTACTTTAGTCTTATTTAGGTTGTGTGGTGTGGTTAGAGTGCCAGACTAGGAACTGGGAGACCCAGGTTCGAATCCCTATTTGGCCATAAAAGCTTGCTGGGTGACAGTTTGACCAGTCCCTCGCTCTCTCAGCCTGACCTACCTCAGAAGCAGTGTCCCCTCTAAGCTGAGTTAGTGTGAGCTAGCTCACAGTTTTGTAGCCTCCGGCTCACACATTTTTGTCTTCGCTCAGGAAGGACGGCTCCAGAGCAAACTAATCGATGCAGTAGCCAAATCGCTCGCTTGGAACTTTAATGCCAGTAGCTCACAAAGTAGAATTTTTTATCACAAGACTAGAAGAGAAGAGAAGAAGAGATTGGATTTATACCCCGCCCTTCACTACCCAAAGGTGTCTCAGAGCGGCTTACAAACTCCTTTCCCTTCCCCTCCCCACAACAGACACCCTGTGAGGTGGGTGGGGCTGAGAGAGCTCTGACAGAAACTGCTCTTTTTCAAGAACAGCTTGTTATCAGAGCTACGGCTTGCCCAAGGTCATCCAGCCAGGTACAAGTGGAGGAGTGGGGAATCAAACCCGGTTCTCCCAGATTAGAGTCCGCACACTTAACCACTACACCAAACTGGGAGCATTGCTCACAAGGTGGTTGTTCTGAGGGCAAAATTATAGAGGGAAGAATAACACTATAAGCAGGGTATAATAACTAAACAAAATAGGTTAAAAACAAAACACAGAAGAGTTACTGGTAGGACTCCATTTAGTACACAGTTTGAGCCAGAGTTCTGTACTTTGACAGGGGGTTGCAAATGGCATGCTCTAGATGCTATTTTTAAAGACGGTAAACATAAAACTGATTTCTCTTCCAACCAAGCAAAGCCAACATTCCACTTTTTGAGGGCTAGCTATCTGTCAAGCAATGTACTAAAACAAAAAGCAGACTTTGAATAAGTCTTTAACACAAATGTTTGGGGAAAACGCATTCTTCGAAGTTGAGGAAATTACAATTATCTTCCCCTGTCTAGATAAAATTCCCCTGTGGGTGGTGTGTTTGTGAAGTTTGCTCATAATTTCACTTAACGGCCTTGTAAAAAAAAAAGAGAAAGTTACGAAAAATCTGTTCCCAAATCTCTCGTGAAGACAGATGGCTCGCAGTTACTTTGGCAAAGGAGGCTAGAATCCAACAAATATACTTACTTAAAACCCAAGAATAAAAAGTTCATGCTGGGAAATCGATCAAGCAAAAACAACAGACAAAATCTAGTGAGAATTTGTGGTGCCGCCAGTCTCATTAAAATCCTTACTACTTAAAAAAAAAGATCATTGAGGATTGCACTGATATCTGGTGGATTTTCTCAATAAATCCAGAGGGACAAGGGGACTCCCAAGATACAAGCTAAAGAAAAAATGAAGGTAGATACGTGGTAATTTACAGTGCAATCCTAAACAGAGTTGCATTTTCCTAATATCGTTGACTTCACTGGACTTCAAAGGGTCTTGCTCTTTTTAGGATTTCACTGTTCACCTCCAGGGTGGTGAAGGAGGGGGAGGAGGGGGAAGGGGGATTGGATTTATACCCCGCCTTTCACTCAGAGTCTCAGAGCGGCTTACAGGAGCGCCCTTCCCCTCCCCACAACAGACACCCTGTGAGCTAGGTGGGGCTGAGAGAGCTCTGACAGAACTATGGCTTGCCCAAGGTCATCCAGCAGGTGCAAGTGGAGGAGTGGGGAATCAAACCCAGTTCTCCCAGATTAGAGTCTGTGCACTTAACCACTGCACCAAACTGGCTGAGTCCCGAACTGTTTTGAGCCTGTGGGCACGTTTAGAATCCTGACACAGGTTTGGTGGCTATAACCACAAAATGGCTGTTGCAGGAAGCATAGCAACACACACAAACACACAGAGGAAGCCTAAGTGGCGGGGAGAAGAGGGATAATTGTAAAAATATGCTGGGAAGGAGGAATAAGAGAGAATAAAAGCAGCCCTGTGGTGACAGCTCACTGAAACGTTACTTTAATCTGCCGAGTCAATCGGATCTCCTGGCCCTGACCTGGATAGCCCAGGCGAGCCAAATCTCGTCAGATCTCAGAAGCTAAGCAGGGTCGACTCTGGCAAGTACTTGGATGGGAGACCTCCTTGGAATACCAGAGGTGGGATGTGGGGGCAGGCCTTTATTCAGCCACCTCTCTGAATATCCTCCAGGCCCCCCAGTAGGGGGTCAGACACCAGAGGTCGCCATGACTTCCAGGTGCACACATACTCACGCATGCGCACACACACACACACCAGCTTGGTGTAGTGGTTAACAGCAGTGGGCTCTAATTTGGAGAACTAGGTTTGATTTCCCACTCCTCCACATGCAGCTGCTGGGTGACCATGAGTCAGTCACAAGTTCTCTCAGAGCTCTCTCAGCCCCACCTACCTCACAGGGTGTCTGTTGTGGGGAGAGGAAGGAAAAGGGGAGTGTAAGCTGCTCTGAGACTCCAAGTGAAGGGTGGAGTATAAATGCAATCTCCTCTTCTTCTCCACATATAAAAAATACAAAAGAATTTTTTTAAAAAATAAAAATCGGATCTCCAGTTATTGGGCAAGGTTCCCCCCCCCCCATTTTCCAAAACTGCTTGATGGGTGCCAGGAAGGTGCTGGTGGTTACCCAGAGGGTACTATGTTGGACTCCTGCTTTAGGGGATCACTCGTGAAAATAGGGCTTCGGATGGGTCTGCGAGGGCTGAATTTATCCTCCAAGCTGTTGATGAGCACAACAGTGATCTAAAGTTAAGTTTCTTGAAAACCTTACACCAGCCGACCATTCTCCTCAGCAATTTTGGACCCTTCTTCCAACTGAAGTTGCTCTTCAGCTGAAGGAAGATCCACTTAAGTTGGAGGAAGGGCTGAACAGGCAAGAGACGGGCCATGGTTTTGCAGGGATCCAAGAACTTTTCGAGTACGACACACATCTTTGTTTTAAAGCAATGCAGTTTTTGTATAACTGCACAATGTATTTTTATTACATTATTGCATCTTAAAGAACAAGTTGCTCTTTTCTCTTTGGACCATTGTCCGGTGCCTTCAGCTGGGAGTTCCTGCTTTTTAATGTATGAATCTGTTAGTAATTGGTGTGTAGAAACGTAATGTAAGAAATAGCATAAGAAGTAATTTTTTGGAGTTCTTGTGTAAAGAGAGTGCCTCATCTGCAGTTGTCTCCTTTTCCTGACCCAGTGACCGCAGTTCCTTTCCTTCCAAAACACTGTGCAAGTTGTGAAAAAGGAAAAGTAGTGCTCTTTGGCCATGGAGATTTCAAAAGTGCCATAAGCTGCAAACCAGTCCTTTTGCTAGGAATCATGTGTTCGCTTGTCTGTTTCTTGTGCAGTAGTTCAGAATCTGAGATGGAGGAAGAAGAGGAGGAGGAGGAGGAAGATCGGCCACAGCAACCCACCTCTGACCTGGGCGGCGTGCCGTGGAAAGAGGCGGTGCGGATACATGCCATGCTGAAGGGGAAGAGCGAAGAGGATCTGGAGACTGAGAAAAACCATGATGTGGAGGAGGAAGAGGAGGAGGAAGAGGAAGGAGAGGAGGAGGAGGGAGAAGAGGAGGAAGTCTCTAGCGAAGGTTAGTAGATTTCCGTTTTCCTCTGAGGATGGATAGGTGCCGACTGGTAGCTCTTCCCTCTCTTCTTTGTTTGTTTGTTTTGTTTGGAAATCCTTAAGGTTGATGCGCTTGGAGGGGAGCTCTGTATATGGATCGTTGGGAGGTCCAAAGAAAATATTTTAGAAGCAGCAGTTAGGCAGTTCCTCAGACTGTTTTTTTTTTACTAACCTATCCTTTTCCCTCTTGCTCCCTGTTGTGTGCAACACAGCGCTCTTTTACTTTTGGGTTTATGAAGAAGTGCAAGCATTCATACCTGAGACTGGTGGCTTTGGGAGCCCAGCCCGAATCGGCAAGAACTGTGGGAGCTGGCTGCCGAGTAGAGCCAATCGAATTCATTGCCAGATCAGGTCGGGGTTAAGCGAGTGTTTGTGGAAGATTGGTTCGAAGTCTGAGGAGGTAGTTGAGCAGTAAGATGGAGGAGCAGGGCTCTAGTCGGGGGGGAGCTCTCAGGTACGGAGCTCCGGAAGAGAACCTCTAGGGGGCGGGGCGGTCACGTGGTGAAGCCCCGCCCCCTTCTTTACCCCGCCCTCTGCTTCGATCCTCATTCCGTTTGGGAATGAGGATGAAGCAGGAGGGTAAGTAGCCGGGCCTTCTGACACACTTCCGGTGATGTCAGGGGGTGTGGCCTTCTGTCACTTCCGGTGATGTCAGGGGGCGTGGCATATGCAAATAAGTTATGCTAATGAGTTATGCTAATGATCTCCGGCAGCTCTTTTTCTACAACAAGACCCCTGTGGAGGAGAGTTTAGACTCAAGGCTGAAACTGCTTCTGACAGGCAAGATCTCGGCCTGCTGCCTGTAACCTGTGGAACCTCCAGTGTTGACCTGGCCTAGGAAAATCTGGAGTTCCCAGACAATCACAGTTCTGGGTTGAGAACCAATCAGGTATTAGATGAGCAGGAAGAGAAGAAGAGATTGGATTTATGGGGAAAAAGAGTTTAGCAAAAAAACTCTTATAGGAAAAAGAGTTTAGCAGGAAGAAAGAGTTTAGCAAAACCTTTGCCTCCTCACCTGAAGGACCTCAATTTCTAGTTTTGCAGCAGTCCGTTCCTCAATGGCAGTTCATCCTTTTCTTCTGGAACTTCTTACAGCTGCTTCGGGTGTGGCATTAATTGCCGTGGTAACAACAATATAGCCACATGCCTGAACTCGAGGTTACCATCTAGGGCAGTTTGGCAATGCTCAGTGAGTCACACAAATGTTATGGAGAGAGAGGTTAATGCTGCCAGCCAGAGGGGACAGTGCTGCCTGAATAGCCTCAGGGGGTATCAGTTGCAAGCTGGAACAGGCAGAAACTTTCCTAACAAAAGAGGCATTTCAATTATTTAAAAGCTTAGGAACCACAGATGTGCAGAATGTTCAGCTTTGAGGCTTTTACACAGCATTTGTGTTACTTTTTCTGCAACGGTTGTTAGTGCGGGGAAAGAGTGATCTAGTGCAGCTTCCCTGTGAGAGCCAGTGTGGTGTGGTGGTTAAGAGTGGAGGACTCTAATCTGGAGAACCAGGTTGGATTCCCCGCTCCTACCCATGCAGCCAGCTGGGTGCCTTTGGGTTAGCCACAGTTCTCTCAGAGCTCTCTCAGCCTTACCTACCTCACAAGGTGCCTATTATGGGGAGAAAAAAGGAAAGGCAATTGTAAGCTGCCCTGAGGCACATGAGGCCTGCTGGGTGACCTTGGGCCAGTCACAGTTCTCTCAGAGCTCTCTCAGCCCCACCTACCTCACAAGGTGACTGTTGTGGGGAGAGGAAAGGAAAAGTGATTGTAAGCCACTTTGAGTCTCCTTAAGGTAGATAAAGTGGGGTATAAAAACCTACTCTTCTTCTTCCCCGCTGTTCCATTTCCTTAATTGCACTTGGGGATTTGATTCAAGTATCTTTGGGGAGTGTCTTCTCCAAACAAAGCAGTACCGCTTTCGAAACGGACCTCAGTTGCCAGCGATCTCCATTCTCTCTTGCAAGATGTGCTCAGGGCCTTTTCAGTAAACCCATTGAGCAGTTAGCCAATGGTGATCGAGGGCTTTAGTGAGATGGGCCCGGATTAGCAGAGACTATTATTATCGTGCTGCGTGAAAGGAGAAGGGACCTGCTGTTGAGCTACCAAACGTTTTTCTACATGGAAATTGTCAAGCTGCCACTTGAAGGTAATCCGCTGGATTTTTTTTGTTTAGGGTAGATTTACAGATCTGAAGTTCCCAGAAGAACTCCTTTTTCATGTGTCTGTTTGCATGTAATGGGGAAAGTTAGCTCATGATGATCTTAGCCCTGAAGGCCTCTCCGTTTAACAACGGATTTCCTAGGTAATTGCTTCTGGGTAAAGAAATCACTCGCATCCAGGCCCTCTTTGAGGCCCCGAACAATAATAACGGTTTAAAGAAATGACGACGCACGGCAACAAAATAAGGCAGCAGTAAAAAAGAGTGAGATGATTAGAATTGTTTTTTATGCTCCTTTTGAGTTTGGGATTTGAGACAAATGGCCTCTCTCCCTCCCCAGCTGATCGACTTTGTACCATATATATCGTGTTTGTGTGTGCATGTTGCCCGTGTCACCCATGACACAGGTAAGGTGCACATGCATTTGTCACGCAGTGAGAATCCCCACTTGACAGTGGACCCTTGTGGTACGTACATACGGCACAGTAGGAGAGATGTGTTTGCCACATGGTTACACATACGTTATATGCAGTTTTCATACATGAAGGTAAAATCTATCAAAATATGACAAGTACATAGTCACAATCAGTATGACAGTGGATTCTTGTGGTACGTACACACGGCACAGTAGGAGAGATGTGTTCGCCACATGGTTACACATACGTTATATGCAGTTTTCATACATGAAGGTAAAATCTATCCGACCAATTTAAGGCAACAGTGACCCCAAGCCATTTCTGGGTTTGCCCCCCCCCCCATCTCTGTGTTCTCTCTGATTGTCTGTCCTTCTCTTTTTCTTCATTTCGTTCTTATTTCTGTATCAATGCTATTTGTCGGTGTGTGACTCCCCCTGCTGTAGAGGGAGAGTATTACCCTTGGCAGAGTGAGCTTCAGCAAGGCCTCTGGCTTCAACATCTCTCAAACGAAGAGGACTCGGGTACATTTAAAGGTACCCTTGCACCGTCACCACTTCTCCCCACCACCACCACCCACCCAAGGCGTTTGATGGGGGGAGCCTCATTGTACAAAGAGCAGGTCTCGCATGAACCAAAATACGCTGCATTTATGAAAAAGCTTCTTTTTTCACTGCTAACTTCCAGATCGGAAGCAAAGAGCACCCTGTAAACCAAAGTAGAATCCCGCTGTTTGGTTTCTTGCCTCAAAAACAAACAGTTTGGTTGTGTGTGGATGAAAAGCTTGGCGTGAGCACCTGCTTCCCCTTTATTAAACTCCAGCTGCAGTTGAAAAAGTTGCTGCTGCTGCTGCCGTCCAGCTTCTGGTCCCGCTGTGTGCGCTTGTCTGAGAAGAAAGGCTGAACACTAGCTTAAGCACCGATGAGCAATGAGGGGTGTGCTGTTGGACATGTGCAACAAGCCTTGTTGTGGTGTGTTTTGCATTCTCTCCCCCCCCCCGGCCCCCTGCCAAAGCCTCCCATTTTCCAGACAAGGATTTCTGCCCCCAGCAAGAAATCACAAGTCATCTCTCCCCCCCCTTATGGAGTGGTTGCAGAGGAGAGCGATGAGGACGATGTGGGGGGCCTGAAGACCAAGCTCTGCGAGGAAAGGCTGAGGGGCTTGGGAATGTTCAGTCTGCAGAAGAGGAGGTGGGGGGGCGTGATTGCTCTCTTTAAGTATTTGAAGGGCTGTCACTCGGAGGAGGGCAGGGAGCTGTTCCTCTTGGCAGCAGAGGGCAGGACTCACAATAATGGGTTTAAATTAAGGGTGGGAAGGTACTGGCTGGATCTGAGGAAAAACTTTTTGACAGTCAGAGTTGTGCCACACTGGAATCAGCTGCCTTGGGAGGTGGTGAGCTCTCCCTCGCTGACAGTCTTGACGCAGCGGCTGGACAAACACTTGTCAGGGATGCTCTGGGCTGATTCTGCATTGACAGGGGGTTGGACTAGATGGCCTGTATGGCCCCCTCCGTGATTCTGTGATTCTATTTCATTATTATGCCAGAGAGACTGTGAGTAATAACACCTTCACTTGCGTAAGGCATGGTCAAAAGACGACCGTACCCTGGCTCTGACTCACCACTGTTTATATATTCCGCAGAAACATATTCCCATTTATGCCGCTAGCAGGGTGAACATCATTCTGAAACACAGGATTATTATTTTTTCATGCTTGATATTCAGTTGCAATAATTATTCTGTAAATGGGGAGCAGATTGCCACACCAACGGCTGTATTAACTGGCTGTCTGTCAGCAAGGCCAATTGGCTGTCCTCAGTTAAACTTAATGTCTTGTCCTAAAGCTGATACGGTGGGTGCCTCTACTCAGGTTGGCCTTTACCTGGGCTGAGTGAAACTTGGGCATGGTGAGGTGCATCATATCCCACCAAAATAAGGAAGTACAATTCCTGACGATCAGGCGAGGCCTGCTCTTTGGGGAGTCTTGCTAATTTTCCGTGCATTTCCCCTCCACTCTCGCTCTCTGTCCTTTCTGGTTTAACTCCTTTCCGGTTTCTAACTCCAAAGGCTGTGTGAGTTGGTATGAACACTAACCCTGCTTAACCCTAGGACTTGCATCAAGGGCACTTGGCGGCATGAGCCTTCGCCAGGGAGTCAGGTTTTTATCACTCACTTCTAAATCAATTGTTTTCCTTCAGCAGTTCCATTTTACATCATCGCGTTGTGTTGACTTAACCTTCATACTAACAAAAAGGGAGGAGAACAATTGATTTACACACACACACCCCTGCCTTAATTGGCTTCTTTTCTCCCTTTTGGATGTATCTTCTTCTCTGATAGTAGTTCCTGAAACTTAAATTGCTGGATGATGCTTTCAAAGACCACCAGAAAGAAAGGACATGCTTCTGACCTGGAATCTGAAATCTGAGCAGTATGCAACAAACAATTCTTAGAAGCATTTGTGGGCGGTATTACACATGTTGATACAAGTTGATGCAATTACAGAGTGCGGTCTAGCCAAAGCAAAACACATCAGCTGTGCTTAACTTCGGCAGGGTTGCAGCCATAACAGACAGAAAGGTACAATTATGTTGTGGAAATTGACAGCAGTGGAAGCATACCATTTTTGCTGTTGCTGTTTGAAACATCCATGGTTGCCAAAGTGTGCCTTTCCTGTTTCTTGTCAGTATTCATAAAAGGATGCTAAAAGGTACTGTTATTTACCTTCACGGTGACCTGCCATTCCTTGCAGAAGGTCCATCCGTTCCCTAGGGTTGCTCAACAGGAGATCTTAGCAACAGTATTTTTGTGAGCATCTCGCAAGCATTTTGGCATGAAGTCGATCTGAAACCTGGGATCCCACAAGCAAAAGGAAGCGAATGTGGAAGAAAACCTATGCATGCACAGTGCTGAACTTTTGCCTGTCTTCTCTTGCCAGCTGATCTCAGCAAGTAACTTTCTTTCTTTTCTTCCCTCCCCTTTCCTGCATTTCCATTCCCACGGCATGTGCTCCTTTTCTTCTTTCTTCTCTCCCCCTCCCCCGTTCTCCTTTACCATTCCACCAACACGATCTACCCTTGTCTGATAGCTGGAAACCTGAGGCTGCAACAGATAGTAAATCCGGTTGATCCCCTGGAGATCTTGGCAGATGTGCACTGGACACACATCCGTCAGAAAGAGGAGGAGGAAAAAGTGGGCCCTGCCTCTAAGTCCTCCACCTCCAGAGGTAAACCTCCCCCCCCCCCCCCCAGTGTTGGCTCCCCTACCTCATCAGGGCATTTGTTCCCTATCAGTTTGATCTTCAGGATGGAAGGCCAAATCTTCTTCCAACATGAGAGTGAATGTTCCTTTTTTTAAAAAAAAAAATTGGATTTCAGGTTATGTCAGGCCGACAAAAGAAGATTTTCCTGGCTTGTTTCTCTGGTTCCGTTTGCATTTTTTGATGCCCTCCTTTATTTGGGAATGTAATTGCTATGATTTCTCATAAGCTGCTGCTACTAGAACAGAATGAGAGCTCTGAACTTGCCTGAACCCTATGTCTGGTACAGTTTTTACATGCTTATGAAAGGGATTGTAGTTAGCTTTTCAAAGGAACGGTTATTTAATGGGCCAGGTTTTGGTGCAGCATAGATGCCCCCAAGCTGGTGTACAAGCTGCTGATTCCGCTTTGCTTAGCACTGAACGAGCACGACCTTTCTTAGGGGTAGGCCATAGCGCAGTGGTAGGGCGTATTCCGTGCATACAAGGAAGTCCAGGTTTCAATGCATAGCTTTCCTTTGTTTTGAACAGAGATAGCCAGGTCTAGAACAGGCCCCTGAAAGCTGCTGTCGCTCGGAATAAGACAATACGGGGGATCAATGGAATGGTGATCGGATCAAGAAGCATAAAGAAGCTTCCTTATGTGCTTATGCATTAATCTTAACTCAGTTTGGCAGCTTTTGGCACTGTTCTTTGTATCAGGAGGGGATTTAAGAAATAATGAATAAGAACAGGAATACTAGTTACGAACTGCAGCCTGTTATCATCATACATCTGCACTCTGTTTTAGCAGGAATTACCTCGATAATTTCTCCTACCATCTTCAACAACAGAAGATGTGTCTTGCCTCAGAGGGTTGCAGGAAAGGACTGAAAGTGGAACACACTTCCAGCTTCCTCATCCTTCCCTGTACCCTGTACCTAGCAGCGGTGTCAGAGCTGGGGATAATCCCGCCCCTCAGAAGGTTGATTAAATCCTGTCACTGCAGGATTAGGAAGGTGTCTATTCTGGAGGAGTCTAACTTTGGGTTTGTGGGACGATGAGAAAGCTGCAACCCCAGAATCACAATCCTGATGTATGTTTATATTCACAGGTCTTAGCTGCTCTGGGAATCTGTGGCTATAACAGAGAAAGCTGCAAGCCCAGAATCACAATCCTGATGTATGTTTATATTCACACGTTGGATATAATGGAAGGCTAATCTCACAGTCAACCTCCATGCAAGGTCTTAGCTGCTCTGGGAATCTGTGGCTATAACAGAGAAAGCTTAGAGAGAGAGAGGCCTAATGCAAAGAAGGGGAAATGAAATGGGAAGGAAAATTTCTAAGGACCAATTATAGATTAGATCAATGATTGAAGTATAATCAACAAAAAATGGTTAGAACGTCTGAAGAGCCTAGAGCAAATTGCTGTTCTCCACTTGGTGCTGTTTTCCTCACTTGGAATATTTTCCTCAGTTCTGGAGGCCATAATCAAAGAAAGATACCAGTAATTTTAAAGGATTTAATGAAGAGGGCTCTACGAGGATGGTGAGAGTTATAGGGAAAGTACAACAGAGTCGAGTGTATTTGGCCTAAGAGATGACAATATATACATTATGGATGTGATGGCTGCTTTGGATGTCAGAAAAAGGAGGATTGTACACACATGCGCCCTGAGGGCAAAAAGGCAAAATAATGAATTTAAATGATAATAAGATTGTTTTGGGGGGGGAATCTCTAAGGACAAAGATCTCACAATTGCTGTAAGCAAAATTCATTTCGCCTTAGGACATTCCCTCTAAAGTTTAAGAAGGGAACAAATCAATTTAGAGGGGCACCTGTAAGGGATGTTTCTGGTATGGAGTCACCTGTCTCTGGCCTTAGGCATATTGCTACATGCTCCAAGTTTCACACTGTGACAGGCCTTTTCTGCCCACTCAGCCTCCTATGATTTTGGGGAACCACGTTTGTTTTAAACTGTGACCCTTCCCCTCAGTTACCAGGTATTTTTAGGACAGCAAGTGCAAAACGGCTTTGGGTTCGCTGCTGTGAGGTAAGTTTTGTGGAGATCATGGAGGCAGGATTTGTATATAAACAACAAAGAAGACTGATCTATTTACAGGTTGCTTACAAGGAATGGCTCAGTAGCACAGGTCTCCAGGTAGTCAGAGGAGAAACCTGGCTGAGGCACATAAATTTAAGCTAGTCGTGGCTTCAGCGTGTAGTTTAAATTTTCTACAGTGCTTTCAGGTCCAGACAGGCTTCTGCTGATGAGCCACTAGGTTGGAGCCTCTCGCACGCAGAGGATAACACCCATACCACCTTGCTCTTTCCCAAGAGTCAGAGAGAGGCCTAATGCAAAGAAGGGGAAATGGAATGGGAAGGAAAATTTCTAAGGACCCAATTACAGATTAGATCAGTGACTGAAGTATAATCAACAAAAAACGGTTAGAACTTCTGAAGAGCCTAGAGCAAATTGCTGTTCTCCACTTGGTGCTGTTTTCCTCACTTGGAATATTTTCCTCAGTTCTGGAGGCCATAATCAAAGAAAGATACCAGTAATTTTAAAGGATTTAATGAAGAGGGCTCTACGAGGATGGTGAGAGTTATAGGGAAAGTACAACAGAGTCGAGTGTATTTGGCCTAAGAGATGACAATATATACATTATGGATGTGATGGCTGCTTTGGATGTCAGAAAAAGGAGGATTGTACACACATGCGCCCTGAGGGCAAAAAGGCAAAATAATGAATTTAAATGATAATAAGATTGTTTTGGGGGGGGAATCTCTAAGGACAAAGATCTCACAATTGCTGTAAGCAAAATTCATTTCGCCTTAGGACATTCCCTCTAAAGTTTAAGAAGGGAACAAATCAATTTAGAGGGGCACCTGTAAGGGATGTTTCTGGTATAGAGTCACCTGTCTCTGGCCTTAGGCATATTGCTACATGCTCTAAGTTTCACACTGTGACAGGCCTTTTCTGCCCACTCAGCCTCCTATGATTTTGGGGGACCGAGTTTATTTTAAACTGTGGCCCTTCCCCTCAGTTACCAGGTATTTTTAGGACAGCAAGTGTAAAACGGCTTTGGGTTCGCTGCTGTGAGGTAAGTTTTGTGGAGATCATGGAGGCAGGATTTGTATATAAACAACAAAGAAGACTGATCTATTTACAGGTTGCTTACAAGGAATGGCTCAGTAGCACAGGTCTCCAGGTAGTCAGAGGAGAAACCTGGCTGAGGCACATAAATTTAAGCTAGTCGTGGCTTCAGCGTGTAGTTTAAATTTTCTTCAGTGCTTTCAGGTCCAGACAGGCTTCTGCTGATGAGCCACTAGGTTGGAGCCTCTCGCACGCAGAGGATAACACCCATACCACCTTGCTCTTTCCCAAGAGTCAGCCCAAATGGTATGAGGTCTGCTCATCACCAGAGACAGGCCTAACAGCCAGGTACTCTGTCCTCTCCCAGAAGTGAAGCTAAACCACTCTGCCACGCCCCCAGGCAGAGCTACCCTTCTAACTGTCTGTTCTGGCTGAGCCAGACCTAAAATTATCCCTGCCCTCGCACTGAGGCAGACCCGGACCCTCTCCTGCTGTGCTTCCCTCCAGCCTTCCGTCCCACTTCCGAAAGGCGGTTGGATACTGGAGCAGCGGTCCCATAGGCTCAGCTGAGTGGCTGTTTTTCCCTTCGGGGGTGGGACAGCCTCCCGTCTGTCACACATACATTTACCTGCTCTGGGAATTCAGGGCTTCTTAGGTTGGGCACCGTCATCCTGGTGTGGATTTGGAACAGCAATAAACTTCCTGAAAATTCTGACTGCATGGAGTGGTGAGAACTTACAGGCCCAGGAACACAATCCTGGCATACGTTGGTATTCGTTATGTCAGATGTAATAGAAGATGGACCTCATCGGCAGCATCCATGTATAAGTTGGGGGATGCTGTGAGAATTCTTCCAGTCTACTTAGTTTGGAAGAAATTGAGTATGCAGACTTGCGAATTCTCCTGCATTGCCTTTGACCTTCTTACAGAGTTAGAGTGGTGGACTTATTGGGGCACTGGGCCCTTTCCTGGCATTGGGGCCCCATCAGATATCCAACCTTACCGTCCTCTGGAGCTTAAGCCAGGTATGTCAGTCCCAGGCTAATGATTCTAAGGGGCCTTCTAGAAAGTCATGTGGTGGTGTTACACTTCTGGTGCAGGCAATCCCAGAACTTTCGCTCTGGGTAATGCTACAGGTGGAGAGAGATACCAGTCTCCTGGTATCCAAAGAGCAATTTGCACTCACTTGAGGGGGGAGGGGAAATAATACAATATCCAGCCTGTTTGGGGTCCAGACAGCCATTAGTCTTTTCCTAATCATCTGCACTGTCATCTCTTAGCTAAATAGAAGATTGCCTTGTACAACTGTACATGCTCTGCTGCCGCCATAGAATTGATTACTTATTCGTTTTAAATGTTAGAGTAAGGCATGTGATTGTTGCTGTAAGAGAGGATACCTGCTCACTCTATGACTCTGCACTTCCCAGATGTCAAAAAATGCTGTTTCTAAGTACTGTCTTCCTGCTAGGGTTGCCAGGTCCCAGCGGGATTTCCCCTGCTTTGAAGGGCTTCGATCCGCTGCCATCCAGCTGGCTGGTGGGGAAAACCCCATCCCCAAACAGGGACGTTGTCATGTGATGTCCCCGATGTGATGACGTCACTTCCGGGTGATGTCATCGGGCCGGGGACGTCACACAGTGATGCTCTGGTTTTGGGGCAAACTCTATGGTTTTGAAAGCAAAAACCCACAGAGTTTTGCCCAAAACCCAGAGTGTTGCGTGTGATGTCCCATCCACCCCTGGAACACTCCTCAAATTCCCTCACCGTGACGGCAAGGGGACCTGGCAACCCTACTTCCTACTTATCAGTGTAATCATCCTATCCCAGGATGTATTATTTTTTGTGGGGGGACTCTCATGCAGGCAGTCTTTATCTTTCTGGCCATGCCCTTCAATTCTCAGGCTTTGTCTTCCCAAATACATGTCCCTTCCCCTCTTAACATCCATTTCAAGAGGCTCTCTTCAAGTTTGAGCCTCCCCCAACGTGAGCATGCTTGGTTGCTGTGGTTGCCACAGCTAAGAAGGCCATGCCTTAAGCCTCTGAGATTTTATTTCTCAAAGAAAGGAGGCATCCCTGGACTCAGAGCTCCCCCTTCCCTCCCCGGCAGGATCTCAGAGTCGGAGGCAGATTTGTATGGGAGTAGATTTTCTTTTAAGTTTCGCCTCTTTGACATGAATTTAGCTTTCTAGTTTATGTTGCCTTCTGGTTTGTGTCCTTTGAATTTGTTCTTCCTCTTAGCTTCTTGATTTTAGTAAGCTGCGTGTTGGTCTTTTCCCATCTCCACGTTAATTCATCTAACCCAGGTAGGGTTTGGCCGTGTTGATGTTACACCGTTAGGAGAGGCAAGGCAAGAGTAAAACACTCCATTAAGTCAAGGTAGACTGTACACTGGCTTTGATTCAGCCTCATTCGGCATTGCCTGTGGTGGGCCAGGGAAGACCTTGTGGGTTGGTGGAGGGTGGAACTGACGGGAAAGAAGGAACAGGAAATGGCAGCATGGAAGATGCAGGGATGCAATGAAGAAGAATCTGCAGCAGATGAGATTGCCAGGAGAGGAAGAGAGCTGAGTCTTGGGGTCTGCGTGGCATCTCACGCAGGGGTGCAGGACAGATGCAGGGGAATAAGGGAGACAGACTGAGCACTTAAGGAGAGAGTGGCGCAATAGTGATGGAGGCAAAGATGGATTCGGTTAGCAGAATGAAGAGAGGAAAGGGCAAAAGAGGTTTGCATCATCAGAGCATGGACAGAGGGTTACCAGCTAACTGCAGGTGGGCAGTAAAGATAGCCAGCAGCAACAGCAGCAGCTGATATCTGGTGCCAAAAGTTCACTCTGCCTTCCTCTCCCCTTCTTTTTGGAGACCCTCTCATGTTTGTTTCCTTTCTTTTTGGGGACCCTCTCATGATGTCTGGTCTTCCCCCTGCCTGCTTCTTTTTGTTTCTCCTCTCTTCTAGCACATGGTACGTTTCCCTCCATGATGTTTCTGTTTCGAAATATTTATTTGCGTGCTCTGAAATTTATCATCCTTTTTATTTTATTTTATTTTTAATTCAGCATCCGACCTACCCTCCGTACGCCACGAGGCGGTGCAGGCGTGGCTGCAAACAGTCCCAGGAGGTAGTTTTGGTGACGTTCCTCTTTACAGCTCACAAGTAACCCTGCCCGCCACCGCTGGCGCTGCCACCTTGTCTGCGTTTTAGCGTCCCAACCGCTGGCCCCCTTTTAACAACCGAACTGTGCCTTTGCCGCTGTTGCATGCTGGAGGGAGGGGGGTTAGGAGCAGAAGGCAGCGGGCTGCATGTCTCACTGAGATGGTCCATTCTTGCATGAATTGGATTTCCATCTTAACCAGGCCCAAAGGAAAAGGATGTCCTGTAAAATATGAAGGGAATGCAGATGTTTGAGAGCAGAAAGTAAGTGTTACGGTTCTGACTTAGGCAAATAGGACCTCTTTAAACATCACACACACACACGTGTTGCAGTACCACACATAAAAATTTGGTTCTTTCACTGTCCAGTTTTATAAACTGCTAAGTAAAAGGTGGAAGGTCAGTAGTTCAGCAGTTCGAGACCTGGGTGCCGCATGACCGAGTGAGCTCCCATCTCTAGTTCCAGCTCCTGCCAACCTAGCAGTTCGAAAGCAAGAAATTGCAAGTAGATAAATAGGTACCACTTCAGTGGGAAGGTAACAGCGTTCCGCGCGCCTTGGTGTTTAGTCATGCCGGCCACATGACCACGGAAACGTCTTTGGACAGCGCTGGCTCTTCGGCTTTGAAACGGAGATGAGCACCGCAACCCTAGAGTCGGATTCGACTGGCTTTCGAGCAAGGGAACCTTTACCTTTACCTTTTTAAGTAAAAGGTAGATTAGTGTTATCCCCATATTACAGATAAGGGCGAGGTTAAGAGGTAGCAGGTTGCCTGAAGTCTCCTACTTAGTTTAGGTTTGAACAGAGGATGTTCTAGTTCACAGCTGTCACACTTCACTACCGACTTGTTCCTTGCATGCACCATCCGTGGACAAGCAGCAGTGTGTGGTCCAGGCAACTGCGTGGAGCCTCTT